TGTTTCATTTCCGTCCCGTCACCTTCACAGCCCCCGCTCCCCGCCCTTTCTTAGGCAAATCCGCCGAACCTTCGGCGCGTGTGAGACGCGGTCGTCGTCTTCGTCGTCTTCGTCGTCGTTGTCGTCGTCGTCGCCAGTCCCAAGAGAAGTGAGGATTGAACAAAGAAAAGACACGTTGTAGCGAAGTCGATTCCCTTCCCTTTTTCCCTCCCCTGATTGGGTAGCGGGGGTAGGGGGGAGGTGGGGGAGGGGTAAGCGGAGGGGGGGGAGGGGAGGCAGGGGGTGGGGTCCCAGGTCAGATTGTCCCCCCCCCCTGGGGGGTTCTGGCGGGTCCTGGGGGGTGGTCCCACCTTTAGACAGGGGCGACTGGCCCTGGTCCCCGGAATCCCAGGAGGGGACCCTGGGGTCCCAGGTGAGGTTCCGCCTACAGAGTCGGCAGCACGGGCCAAGCTCCACGGACCAAACGGCCCCCAAACCTTCGACTTCCGTCACGTCCCTTTCACAAGCTCGGTCCCCCACCCATTCGTATGCAAATCCACGCGCCTTCAATCCACTGCCCGTTGTGTCATGTCCTTCCCCCTCACCTTTCCAACCCCTGCTGTCCACGCAAGACCCAGACGGCCCAGAGACCAGATACTAGATTCAAATCTTCAAACATCCCGACATGAGATTCCACAGCAATCGGAGGCCCCCCAAAGGCCCCAATGAGGCTCCCAGGAAGCCTCTTGAGGCCTTCTTGAGACCCAAAGAGGGCCTCAAGAGGCCTCCTCTTCCTCCTCGTCTCCCTCTTCTCCTCCTCCTCCTCCTCCTCCCTCGCCTCTCTCTCTCTCCTCCTCCTGTCTCTTCCTCTCCCAAGCGTTCGTCGAAGGGGCTCGACAACGGCTGGGGGAACACACGGCTCGATGTTTGGACGCCCGAATTGAAAACGGAACAAAAATTGGTACGATGCCCAGCAGCAAGTGTTGTCCGGAGCCGACGGCGGCCGCTGTTGGGCAGGCTGCCTTCTGCCTCAACTGGGCAACGTCCGCGGCGGCGAGGACAGCGAGCCCTGTTCGGAATGCGGAGGACCTGCTTTTGGGCATCGTACAACGTCTTTCCGTACCCTTTTCGTTCGTGCCTACGACAGCTCGGCCAGGCTCCGGCCCAGCGCTCCGCCGCGTCGGCGCTTCCAACAGGTAGGGGCCGGCGGTGATTCACCACAGGCGTCTTCGATCCGCCGCCCCTGTCGCCTGCGGAGGCGCGCTGGCGTGCCGATGTCATGGCTCTGCTGGCCCTTCCAAGCAATTCTCAGTGGCCTTCGGCGCATCCCGCCAGCCATCCCAAAAACCTCAAAACTAACACAAGTCGCAACCAAGATGCCCAAGTAGCTCAACATGGCCTCCAAGACGGTCCAAGGTGGCTTCCAAAACGGCCCACGCAGGTCCAACAGGCCTCCAAGCTCGACCAGGTTCTATGAGACGCCCAAGCTGGCCTCAAGACGGCCCAAGAGGCCCCCAAACGCCACAAGTGGGCTCCAAGAGAACCTCCAGGATGCCCCCGAGCTGCCCACACCACTCATGTTCGTCAAATTGTTCTAGGCTTGTCTTCAATTGCCTTGTCGGGCTTCCACAAACCCAAGCCGGTTCAAGACGGTCGTCAATATCGCCCAATAGGC